TCCGAAGAAGAACATTTGCCAAAAATTGCCCGGGTAAATCAACTTTCACCAAGCGCATCGAGACCTCCGACCGCCATAAAACGACAAGTGATCCCGTTAAATCGCAAGCTGGAAACCAAGCGGCACTTACGGAGTGAGAAGTCGGATAAGGAACCTGCCATAATAAAAGCTAAGAAGCGCAAAAGGCCCGGAGTGAAGACTTTGCAAGAAATACGACATTTACAAAGAACCACGGAGTTGCAAATTCCTCGCATCGCGTGTTAGGGAAGTTGCGAATAAAATAGCACAGGCCAGAGGTATAGAAGAAGATCTGAGGTAGCAGTCTAACGCCCTGCTGTCTCTTCAAAAGGCAGCAGAGGTACATCTCGCATGTCTTTTCGAGGATACGAACCTCGCGGCGATCCACGCTCGTCGAGTAACGATTATGCCTAGGGACATCAGGCTGGTGCGACATATACGTATTAGTGCTTCACAAATGGCACTTTATCTACAAAACTCTTCGGATACTCACAGTCAATGGATATTGGGACATTTATTGCTATATGTCCAACTTTTTTCAGAAGTCTGTTTGTTATTACTGTATGCATAATAAACCGTTGAGGATCGAACCTCGCATAGGGTTCCGCCTTAGCCAGCCAAGCCTTCTTTCTTCTGAGGCTGGTAAAATGGAAATCAGATTCTTCTGGAACGATAACACCCACTTTAACTCACCTGTTCGAGGATCAAAACTCGCATAGAGTTCCGTCTTGGCCAGCCAAGCCTTCTATCTTCTGAGGCTGGTAAACTGGGATCACACTTGTCTGGAAAGATCAAAACACTTTAACTCACCTGTTCGAGGATCGAAACTCGGATCGGGTTCCGCCATAGCCAGCCAAGCCTTCTTTCTTCTGAGGCTGGTAAAATGAAATCAGATTCTTCTGGAACGATAAGCACCCACTTTAACTCACCTGTTCGAGGATCAGAACTCGCATAGAGTTCCGTCTTGGCCAGCCAAGCCTTCTATCTTCTGAGGCTGGTAAACTGGGATCACACTTGTCTGGAAAGATCAAAACACTTTAACTCACCTGTTCGAGGATCGAAACTCGGATCGGGTTCCGCCATAGCCAGTCAAGCCTTCTTTCTTCTGAGGCTGGTAAAATGAAATCAGATTCTTCTGGAACGATAACACCCACTTTAACTCACCTGTTCGAGGATCAAAACTCGCATAGAGTTCCGTCTTGGCCAGCCAAGCCTTCTATCTTCTGAGGCTGGTAAACTGGGATCACACTTGTCTGGAAAGATCAAAACACTTTAACTCACCTGTTCGAGGATCGAAACTCGGATCGGGTTCCGCCATAGCCAGCCAAGCCTTCTTTCTTCTGAGGCTGGTAAAATGAAATCAGATTCTTCTGGAACGATAAGAACACCCACTTTAACTCACCTGTTCGAGGATCAAAACTCGCATAGAGTTCCGTCTTGGCCAGCCAAGCCTTCTATCTTCTGAGGCTGGTAAACTGGGATCACACTTGTCTGGAAAGATCAAAACACTTTAACTCACCTGTTCGAGGATCGAAACTCGGATCGGGTTCCGCCATAGCCAGCCAAGCCTTCTTTCTTCTGAGGCTGGTAAAATGAAATCAGATTCTCACCCACTTTAACTCACCTGTTCGAGGATCAAAACTCGCATAGAGTTCCGTCTTGGCCAGCCAAGCCTTCTATCTTCTGAGGCTGGTAAACTGGGATCACACTTGTCTGGAAAGATCAAAACACTTTAACTCACCTGTTCGAGGATCGAAACTCGGATCGGGTTCCGCCATAGCCAGTCAAGCCTTCTTTCTTCTGAGGCTGGTAAAATGGAATCAGACTGGACTGGAACGATAAAAACACTCACTTGCACATTGGTTGGCCCACTCAAGTCATTGTATGGGACGTTCACACATTGCGTTCAACAAGCCACTGCGATTTGGATATAGAACGTGTAAGACATTTCAAAAAAGTTTATCGGCGAAGACGTTATCCTTTTACCCAGCCACACCATGGCACTAGTAGCCTCTCAATCAAGACATTAGGCCCCGTCTCGCCTGATGGCGAGAGGCATACCCATATTAGTAAGGTTCTATTCGGCACGAGAGGCATGCCTAGATTTTAATTCACATTAGCATATAACCGCACGGACGAGAAATCACCCAGCTCAACAACAAGAACCTACCACCACGAGACCACCGAGTCTTTTCGAAGGCATCTTATCACTGATCAGCCAACAAGAGCATTCCATTATTTCTGGTTTTTCCCTAAAATTTTGTATAGATCTTTGGCAGTCCCTCTAACAACGACCAGAGATACGACCCCCGATACGACCCCCCCCCCCTCTCGTGACTTTCGTACGACTCTTTTTGAAGCGTCCCGTGTATGGTTGGGCGCGGCGGTCCTGGCGCGCCGGGAATGTTCGCGAAGCCGCTAGGGATGCAGAGTCGGCGTCGACTCTGGCCTGTATGTCACTTCTACGTCCTGCACCCGTCTCGACTGGTCGCTCCGCTCCACTGTACTCCCAGTGTCAACGTCATCGTCTATCTATGCTGGTCGCTCTAACATCAACGAGCAGTACCACGTAATGAGCCGCACTACTACAGGCCGCCGACTATCCCAGGTAACCACTAGGTGCTTAGGTGCATCCGAACCTTCCGGGCAGCCGGAGGGGGAGGATGTTCCCGATGCCCTAGTGGGCTGTTTCCTCGTGGCCCGTAGGCAGTGAGGCAGGGTTCGTCCGTGTAGGTTAGGGCCGTACCATTATTCTTGTAGTAGTTTATCCTTTTGTTATTGTTTCATAGTTATCATTAGAGAGGTAAATCAATTTAATAGTTTGTATTGTTATGTAGCAATAGTGGTCAAACCACATTTCTCGAATGTTCATTCATCACAGTTTCATTGTAGTCCTGGCATAGTTATTGGGTGTGCCGGTTGTTGGTTCTAGCCGTATACTAGAGGCGTCATAGTCTGCAGCTATGTGAGCAGGTATCCTTAGGCAGGGCGCGTGGATAGGGCGTAGGTAGGAGGGTTATTAGTAGGTACATGACCGTAGTGTGCACACAACGTAGGGGCAGTAAGGGCCTACAGGTTGCGCTTAGCACCATAGCACCCGCGTGGCAACACCGTGGCGAGCATAGGCAAGCGCTCGTAAGTCCCCTGCATACACTCGCGCCGACTATTCTAATTTGCAGCACAGATTAACTTGTTTTAGCGTAGTATTCCAATACTAACTACGCTTAGTAGTAGTTTTTCTTTGCACAATAGTGCAACTTCTTTTTCTTTCCTATTTAGATAGTTTATTTTCCTTCTCATTCTTTCCTATCGTAGTTAAATCCAAACCATTTCATTTACTCACGTCATTTAGCACATTTTTGTTATATATTTGTTCACGTCATATTTACCCACGTCACTTTTATCACATTATCGCTATTCCATTTATTCACTTCATATTTATCACTTCATATTTATCGAATTTCACTCTTCGTCCTCTTTGCGACCAGGCGTATAATTATGTACATCGTACGAGTCCTAACAACGCGCTCTCGTGGCATAAGTTCGTGACAGCGTGGAACTACATATTCCCTCACCTTTTCAGGTAATTGCGTTCTTGAGGCGCACCCGTCTCATTGCTATCATGCTGTCGCTTGCCACGTAGTGAGGAGGTTTCGCCCCGTAGGCGTAGTTCGCCGCAACGTCGCGATCGTTCGCTTAGCCCGCAGCCACATCATCCGGGACAAAGGCTTCGCCACTGCTATGTAGTGCATTATTGCTGTTGCCCTTCGCTCTCGGGTAGCGACCATAGTCATCATTATCGCGCACGTTCGCCTAGCGAACCACTCACTTATGCATGGCGCAATCCAGCACCTTTGAGCGAGTGAACCGGCTCTTCTTCAGCTCTTTAACTAAGGCTCTTCGGCTCTTGAACCGAATCCTCACACAACTCAACTGCCTCAAGTCATCGCACGAATTCCTACAATATTGTACCACCTCATGTAGCTGAATCATGTTGAATTATTACATCGCGTACGGTAAAGATGCTCCTCATTTCATCAGCACTTCACTTGTACACATATTCTCGCCAGTCAGTATGTATCCTATTATATGTTCAAGGATACTTGCGAGAAGAACTTCGAACAACATGATGGAAGCTCAAAGCTCGAGGACGAGCTTACTGTAAGGAATGGAGATGTCGTATCCTCGTTGCGAAGGCAAGAGGAGCCAATCGTCGCATGCCACCTGCCGTCCAGCGTTTCGTAACCGGCGGCGGAGAGTATTTAAGCTGCTGCCAGCCGGCAGCGATGGAATGGAATGGCTTCGTCTCTCAACTCACGCTAGGAGTTGGTCGTCTCAAGCCTCGGCCGGGGCTCCGCTGGCCTCCTCCTCTCCCTCCCCCCCCCTTACTCTTTGTCGTATCTTTCTATAATAAATATTCATATAACCAAGTTCAATGTTTATACATCTTATAGAACGCCGCTACTCCCATCGGATGAAGGTCTGTGCACACTTTCAACCTGATTAAGCCTTGTAAAAGCCCACTGTGACTCACAGTGGGAGGCGGAGTTTATCGGTTGTAAATCACCTTACTCCTACATATGACGTAGGCAAAACGGGCCGCAAGAGCAGGTGTTTAAGCGCATCTGTATTGTAATAACCCCCGCAAAACCAAGGCGGAAAAGAAAAGAAATTTTTTTGTTCTCTCTTCTCTCTTTCAGGATCAGCGCCGCCAAAGAAAGGAGTACCCCCGTAATGAATCACGATCCTGGAAATAATTTTTGGAACAAACTCAACCTTACAATCAAATGTAAAACCTTTACGCAAACGAGTTCAGGGCGTATCCGGCGACACACCCACCCAACTAAATCTTAGTAATCACGCATGGGCATAAATACACCAGCCAAACAAGGTAAAAAATGTTGTCAGATTGAGATCCTTCCAATCGAATGTACAATGTGAGCAGCAGTTGTCTGCATGGCGCAATGCGTCGAAAGTGAGAATATCCTATTTTTTTCATCATTTGATTCGAACTCTCTGGTGCGTACAGCAATATTGAATGTTTAGAGAAGAAGTTTCGGCACTATTGAACTATTCCTACCCCAGAACACTCAAAAAAATTTTTTCGCTGAAACGTTGCCTATAGATGTAATTCGATGCGCTGATCACGAATATAACATCCGTTTCGAGCTGGCGTCATTTGGCGCCATTATGCGCCAATTTGGCGCCCACCACTTTTTTCACCAAAGTTGATGAAAACTTGCATATGGGGGTTAATTGAGGTCCTGATTACGAATCCAACATTCATTTTCGGCGCTGGCGCCATTTGGCGCCATTACGCGCCAATTTGGCGCCATATTGGCGCATAATGGCGCCAGCGCTTGAAACCAGTGTGATATTCGTAATCAGGACCTCAATTGACCCCCATATGCAAGTTTTCATCAACTTTGGTGAAAAAAGTGGTGGGCGCCAAATTGGCGCATAATGGCGCCAAATGACGCCAGCGCTCGAAACGGATGTTATATTCGTGATCAGCGCATCGAATTACATCTATAGGCAACGTTTCAGCGAAAAAATTTTGAGTGTTCTGGG